GTCACCGCCAATGGTTCCCCCATGGGAAGGATCGTGTTTGAGGTATTTTCGTTTATATTTTACTTTCTTAGCTCTTTGCAGATGTAGTCCCGAAGACGATTGAAAACTTCAGAGCTCTTTGCACGGGTGAAAAAGGCTTTGGCTACAAGGGCTCCAAATTTCACAGAATTATCCCTGAGTTTATGTGTCAAGGTGGCGACTTCACCAATCATAATGGTACCGGAGGCAAAAGCATTTATGGGAATAAGTTTGAGGACGAGAACTTCAAGCTAAAGCATGACCAGCCTTATCTCCTTTCAATGGCCAACGCAGGCCCGAACACGAATGGTTCTCAATTCTTCATAACCACAGTCTCGACTCCATGGCTAGACGGGAAGCACGTCGTGTTTGGAAAAGTTGTAGAGGGCAAAGAGGTTGTGAAATTGATGGAATCCTGCGGCTCTTCTTCGGGCAAGCCGTCCAAGACTATGGTTATTTCTGACTGTGGACAATTGCCCGCATAGATCCATGGATTTTGTAATTTCCACATTGCGCAATTTTGATGTCAATTTATACACTGAGCACTATTCGTGAATAAATGTAGCTGTCCATTGACCTGGAGGGCTCCTTGTTTCATGTCTAATCGCTCCTTGCACTGCATTCTTTACCTTGGTTTTGCCAGTAAAGCACTCATTCGTGTTCCTTGCTCGGTTTTTGCCTAACTAGGAATTTGGTACAACTCACCAGTCTTTAATTAACTAACGATCACAAGTGAATGGAAACTATCCATTCTCCGCTTCCATTGAAACCTTGACCCATTCGTCAAGTTCGCTTTTTCGAATTGATAAATCGTTTAGCCTATTTTTCTGCGCGGTCGCGTTTAGAAATAGGCATAGTCGATTTTGACTGCCGGTGGTGCTTTGAAATTCCCTTCGACATTTCATCAGGTGTGAGCTTAAAAGCAGACCAAATATCTTTTCATATATGTCATTGTCAAATCTGAGCTAAGCCTTTTCCAGCTGA